GCTGGTCTAGGGCAGCTGGTGGCCATGCCACCCAGGGATGCAAAGGCAGATAAGGTGGAAGAAGCGCCAAGCCCTCCTGGGGACTGCACTGAGGAGCTGGGTTGGTCTGGATGCAAAGGATCAGGAAGAGGAAAGGTCAGCCCCATCATCCCAGAAAGAGGCTGGTGGGTGGTGCAGGCCCAGGGAAGCAGAGAGAGGTAAGGGCAGGGCCAGGCCCAGAAGCAGTGCTCCTGGGACCCAGAGAAGGCACTAGGTTGATCTGGATAAAAAGGATCAGGGAGCAGTATTGGTTCCCCAGGTGTCTGAGGCCACAAGACAAGGAATGGAGCAGGGCCCAAACTTGGAGGAGAGAACCATGGCGGAGATGGGAGGGTGAATGAGGCTGGGGGAGTCAAGGCCCCTGAGAGAGGCCTGTGGGTAGGAGAGAGGCCTGCGGAGGGTCCTGCGGGCCCAGGGAAGCAGCAATATTTTAAATTTTAAAACAATTTATCTAAGCCAGGCGTGATGGCATATGCCTGTAGTCACAGCACTTGGGAGGCAGAGGCAGGCGGAGCTCTGTGAGTTCAAGGCCAGTCTGGTCTACATAGTGAGTTCCAGGACAGCTGGGGCTACAAGGAAACCCTGCTTCAAAAAGACAAAAAGGAAAAAAAAATAATAATAATCTAAATTCAATCCTCAGACTGTCAAAAAGAAACAATATATGGCTTTTATAACACCCTAGACTGGCCCTTTGATGATACCCAGGGCCATGGCACCATTCTGCAGCTTGATCTGTTCTGTCACAACTTTAAAATGTTTGCCATTACTGGGGCTGGAGAAATGGTACAGCACTTAAGAGCACTGGCTGCCCTTGGAGAGGACCTAGGTTCGATTCCCAGCACCCACACGCAGCTAACAACAGTCCATAACTCCAGTTCCAGAGGAATCCAATGCCCTCTTCTGACCTCCACAGACATTGAACAACACATACATGCACTTACATACATGCAGGCAATATACTTGTACACTAAAAATAATAAAGTACTTTCAAAATGCTTGCCATCAGTAAACTTATTAGCCAGTTTCTCCAAGAAATATAACTATTTCCTATCTTCCCCAGATCTTTGAGTTAGAAGACACCTGTTGTACCTCATCCACTGGACCCCAAAAAGACCACTGAGGACCCAACACACCAAAATGCAAAAGCAAAGGTTTATGGTTTATTCGGGCTTAAGCTCGGGCTCTCAGACCTCACCAACTCAACGATCCGTGCTGAGAGCCCAGAGTAAGGGAGAGTGGAGCCTTTTATAGGTTTTAGACAAAGGGGGGGATACTGAAGATACATTTTGGTTGGTTCAAGGAGCCCGCGTGCGCCAACATAATTTTAAACTGATTGGATGTATAAGATGCAGCCCTGGAAGTTTCTTATTGGTAGGTGCTATTCTCAGGGCTGTGGAATGTGCTGACTGTTATCTGTGGGGCCAGGAGTCTCCATTTTTACCTTATAGGGCAGTTTTCATGCCCAGGCTTGCTTAATCTATAGTTTCCTGGAAGGGGGGGGACTAGCAGGCGGGGGTCAGGGCATGCCAGCGCATGTCTAGGCATGTCTAAAGCAATAGCCAAGCATTTTACAGAAGCTAAAAGAGCAATTAGTGGGGGTCTGGAGGGATTGGGGGTGGCGGGTGAATGAAGAGGGTCTCAGGGTCCTACACAACTTTTGTAACCAAAACTACAGTTACAAGCCAGGCATGGTAGCCCACGCCTGTAGTCCCAGCACGTGGGAGGCAGAGGCAGGTGGATCTCTGTGAGTTCAAGGCCAGCCTAGTCTACATAGTGAGTTCCAGGCCAGCTGCAGCTACAGGGAGACCCTGTCTCAAAAAGGAAAAAAAAAAAAAACCAGTTACAGAGTTAATGTATAAATAAATATTTTGGGCTCTTTGTGAATTTCCTCTACCTGTTGTGCTACCCAAGACATGTGGCCTGTTTTCTTGGCCAGCTCTTACTAAGAACTAAGGTTGCATTCTATAACTTTCAAACTCTTCTTAAGGCATAAAAAAGGAAAAGACCCTTTTAAAATCAAACTAGCAATAAGTCTGCATATAACCTGCAACAGACAAAGCCCTGATGGTTTAACTACTTATGGATATGCTGCCTTACTTTTCAGTAACTGTGACAAACACCCTAATAAAAGCAACTTAAGAAAGGGCCTTTAGTATACAGTTTCAGAGTATAGTCCACCATGGCAAGAAAATTACAATAAAGGGAGTTTGTGGCAATTGGTCACATTGCACCTGAGGTCAGGAAGTCAAGGGGGATGGCTGCTGATGCTATGCCACTTTTCTCCTTTTTCAGTCCAGGATCCAAACCCAAAGAACTGTCTCACTCACTTTTAGGATAGGTCTTCCCACATCCATTAACCTAATCAAGATAGTTCCTCCCGTGCATGCCCAGAGGCTAACTAATCTAAAATATCTCTCCCAGGTTTGCCTGGAGGCCTGTCTCGGAAGTAAATCCAGACCCCATGAAGTTACAATCAACACTGACAAACCATCACACAGGAAATCTTAGTTTGTCACATGATCACATAAACATTATTTGGATTCAAGTCATTTTAGTATGTTGATAAATGTTTATTATGCTACACTGTCTCACATTTTTAAATGTTTGAAAGTTGTTAAAATTCCTAAGATCAAAATTCAGTACACTGGTATGAAAACTAAAATCCAATCCTCTGTTTAAAACAATGTGAATCTCTTAAGATATTGATCTGCATTTAGTAACATTTACAAAAAGTACCTTAAGGAACAAAGAGTTTATGTTTTATCAAGGTAAGTACTCATATTTTCTGATAAGTTTATCAGACCTTTACTTACAAAACATTTTTAACCTCAGGATTTATTTTTAAATGTTTTTTTTTCTTTTTGTCTAATCTTTGTTACATAAAAAGTTAAATCTAAAACTTGTTACTTCCTCATAAAGACTGATAGAACTTTCTGGTTGTCAATAACCAAACCTTGGAGACCTTAAATTTAAGGACAAAGGGTGCAAAACGGGCACCAGGGACCAGTGGAAAGTCTCCGTGGGGAAAAGTGTTTGCTGGGCGAGCCCGATAACCTGACGGAGCCCTCGACAATCCCAACTGTCCTCTATCCTCCTCAGGTGTATCCTGGCATGCATGTGCCCACACTCACATCATAGACACACACACACACACACACACAAATAATAATAAAATTCTTTTTTTACGGGACAGTCAATATTTTAGTCCTTACCATCCAAGGTGGTCCAGGACCTAGAGAATCAACTCTGGGAAGTCATGTGACCTCTTGCTCAAACAGGGCAAAACCTGACTAAACACCTCCCGAGATGAGTCTGAATCTGCCAGCTCCAACCCCAACTACTCCCATCAAGTGTGTCAGGGCCACTAAGATGTCTCAATGGCACCTATGGCAAGGCTTGAAGACCTCCGTTCCATCCCTGGAACCCATATGGTGGAAGGCGAGAACTGAGTCCTCTAAATTGCCCTCTGACCTCCACACACACTGAGGCAGTACGCACACTGAATAAGTGCACAATAAATGTAATTTTTAAATTAAGTTTAGAAACGTGTCCATTTTCCTAAACCAGTTTAACAGAATTTTTGCAGATTTATTTAAAAAAAAAAAAAAAAAAAAAAAAGCACTAGCCGGGCGTGGTGGCGCACACCTTTAATCCCAGCCCTCGAGAGGGAGAGGCAGGAGGATCACTAGCCAGCCTGTCCTGAGTTCCAGGACAGCTGGGGCTACAGAGAAACCCTGTCTCAAAAAGACCAAAAAAAAAAAACGGCTATACCTTCCCTTCACAGTAACCATTTCCCACCTGAGCTTTGTCTTCTACTTTCTTGGCAGGACCTGAAACTTGTCCCAGAAAGCAGAGACATTCTGTGACATTAAATGTGCTGTGCAGTCTAACACAAATGTGGCTTTGCAGACAAGAACAAGGTCACTGCAAGAAGAAACTTAGGATGCTTTTCACTCAATAGGATACATAAGCGTACTGAGGGCTCCAGGGCGTGAAGAGATCAGCGTCCCCTTAAATGCTATTTGCAATGCATATAAATAGTAAAAGCATTCCATGGACGCTTTAGGCATTTGGGGGAGCTTTTATCCTACGGATGCTCCTCCCAGGGCGGAGGATTTGCAGCATCCGTGACCCCTGCTCTACCTCTCAGGTCCACCATACCAGCCAGCGCCACGCAGCCTCTGCCTTTCAGCGCGACCCCGCCCAGCGCCAGCAGCGCTTCCCACAGTGCCGCGGAGGGGCGCGGGGGCTCCTGGGAGTTGTGGTCCAGCGCCGCGCGGCGCTGCTGCGGCTGCTCCGGGCTCGGCGCCGGCTTTGTCTATCTACGGGCGCGGGCCGCTGCGGTGAGTGAGGCCCGCCGAGTCCGTGCGCCCGGGTGAGGGGCCGCGCCGAGAGTCCGCCGCCCCGCAGGGCGCGTAGCAGGCCAGGCCGGCCCCGCGAGGTCGGCAGCCCGCAGAGGAGGGTCCGCCGGCCGGAGCGCGGG